TTGCCCAGGGAAGTCACCTTGGGATGCCAATTTACTAAGTGTTTTCATAGTTATTTTTTCAGAGTATTACTGCTTGTCACATCAGTGTGGATTCTATTGCAGTAGTGCATGATAACATGCAAGATCAATCTGTTAAACAGCTTGTCTGTTTGAGGCTATTCTTGCATGCTATTTCATTTTGTCTTTTATAGGGGCATAAAGGGGCATAAAGACTGAATCAGTAATACAAGCATTTCCTTCAGTAACATAGGAGGTTTCCTCCTCGCTTGAGGTAGCGAGGGCTCCGACACATGCTCTGCTTGCTTCTAGAGGGACAGTCCATTTCGGTATTCTGACTTGAACAAGGGACAGGTCATAAAGTCTGAGCTTCAACATCTGTCCTTTCTGTGTGAGATTAATACTACCAAACGTGGGCCCTGCTGGTGCCCCCTCAGCTGGGATGAGTCGTGTAGTGTGGGCTGGGAATGCTTTTCTTGTTGGTTGTGAGTTGTAGTGTTCAACTGAAACGCTTGCTGAAGCAGTTGAGGAAAGCTTTTGTTCAGGCTGTAAGGAGCTAGGGATCAGATCTCGTCAGGCAAACGAGAACAGTGGCTGCAGATATGACATAAGCGCACAGCTCTATAACCCTGTTTTGGAGGTGTCCGTGTCACAGAGAAATGTTCCTTCCGAAGCCAGGCAGTGCAAGGTGTCTCGCCCAACCTGGGGAACTCTACTCAGTATTAGGCCACAGAGGCATGCGAGCAGTAAAATTACACGGTTTATAAAGATCTTAGTCCTGTGGTTGAAATGCCTTTCCCACATTTCAAAATCTGCTTTAGGATAGCAGACATTGTGGAAACTCTGAGAGGTTGGAGACCTTTGTCCGCAACACACCTGAGAACATTATGCTGCTAAATGCCAACCTAAGTGAGACAATTGGGGCTGCAACTGGTGGCCATAAAGCCATCTCCCAAGCCTAAAATATACTGATGGTCTCTGCTAGCTGCAAGCCAATAGATTTGAAGGGGGAGTAGTGTTACGGCACTACGAGACTCTACCTTCCTCTCCCATCTGGTGGGGTTTGCCGTAATACGGAGCATGAAGCTAGGACACACTCTCCCATAGATGCAATATTCCTGTTTTCATTACTTTCTGATCATTCCCTTCCCTCTTCCTCTTGTGAGATTCTGTTGAATGTGGAAGTGACAAGGAGCTGTAGATTAGGTACCAAAGGGAGAATCTGAGGAACGAGATCGAACCTCTGACCAACCATATGTGAAGGCTCCTCAGGTGTTTTTTTTTTTTTTTTGAAGCAGCTACAAACATTGCAGGCAGCAATACCGGCTGCTGCACTGACTCGTGTTTAAAAAAATCTGATTGCTGACTTGTGACTGAATTGGGTGCCAATTTTGCTTCAGTAACAAAATTGATTTTCAGAGGATCTTGTAAGGTTTTTCAGAGTTTCTGCTAACCCACAGGCTTTGAATAGCATAGAAACACCCTCAATTGTTCTGCCCTTTATATCACATTGAGGTCATGGAACATGAGTATTCTGACTTACCTCATAACATTTTTTTTTTTCCTAGTACAACTACCAGAATGCATGGAATTATGGACAGTATTATCCTCCTCCTTGATCAGAAAGAAGAGTGAGTGAAGTTCATCGTGCAGTTTCAACAAAGATGGATTAAAAGATATATTTTTCTAAATTAGGGATGTGAAAGAACTGTTGTAATACCTGCTATTTGGTCTTTTGCATGTGAAATGAGCTGATGTTCACAGGGTATGTGTGAAGCAAGATTCGTGTGTTGGTAACTGATAAATGGTCTCTCTGTACACTGCTAGTTTACCATAAATGCATTTCTTTATTTCCCTGCACTAACTTATGGAGATATTATTTGAGGAAATTTTTTTTGCAGTTTCATAATGATTCCGTAGACTTAAAAATCAGTAAATCTGTAGCTTTTTTTTTTTTTTTTTTAAAAGCATTTCTGATGACCAGTGTTAGCCACAATGGCTGCTACAGGAAACAAGCAGGTCAGGGAAGGCTGCCAGTTCACGAGCAAAGCTGTCCTTTCACCTGCTCTCCTCTCCAACCAAAAATTCATAACCTGCTTCGATCATGAAATCTTTTCCCACACCCCGGTGAGCAAAGCCCAGACCACTGTTTATATTGTCATGATTGAAACTCTTCAGATGAAGATGGCAGCCTTTGTAAGCTGTGATATGTATTTTCTATTTTATGTGGGGGTCAAAAATTAAAATGCAGTGCAAAATGATGTTGCATTCTTTTTTAAAAGCACAAACTGTGTTTGGGATGGATTTTTGTATCTAGAGTTTTTCATGTACACAGTGTGAGCAAACTTTTTTCATTTTGATCAAAGTGATCATTCTCATTTTCGTAATAAAAGCAAGGAATTCAGTAGTTCTTTGAGCTTTCTTGGATTTTCTCATTCAAGCTAAGAGTAAGAATTTCAGATTCTCAATTCAACAACTGTTCAAACTAACTTGTGTCTTTGTCTGTGCTCTAGAAACAGCTCATGACAGCCATGAGCATGTCCATTCTAAAATGTCTTTGAAGGATAATTTTAGTAGCACCTGACCTGAAGGGTTTTTTCTTAATTTGAGCAATGCTTAGCATATTAATGTCAATTTTTTTCTTCACTTTTCCCTCTTTCACTCTTCAAATATTCTAGGTCTAATTAAAATTGTTGGGTTACTACTGTAGTAAAATTTAGCAGCTACACTGAAGCTAAAGCTGAAAAAGTGAATTACCAAAGACCGGAGCTAACTCTTGAAGAAAATACTTTGCAGTAAAAGATTACTTGGGACTGGAAGGGATAGTAAAAACAATCATGGAAGTTCAAGATGGGTCTGTTTCCACTCTAACAGTTTACTGGAGACTTGAGCAATTTTTTCCCCACACTAGGAGAAATAATTTTTGAGGTGAGCCTACACACATAAAGAAGTCAGATCGTTTGCATGTATAAACTATGTTTTCTTTAGTGGTATGTTACTGTACAGCAGTTGGGGGGGGAACTTGATTTCAATACAAGGCCACAGTTGTAACTATATCCTGAAGTTACAAGAGCAAAACTGTAGTTGTCGGAAGCTTTCTTGCTCATAAATGGATTCCCAGCAGCAAAGAAAATTCTTCATTTCACTCAATATCCACCAATTCCACTTCAAAGAAGAGTTTTGCATTTGGTGGTATCCTGTTTGCATAAGTTAAGGAAGCTTATAAAAAAAAAACATAATTAAGTTAGTTTATAGATCAATGTTAAGTGATTTATCACCTGTTCTCCTGTTGCTCAGGTGTCAGTTTTACATTTCACTTACCCGTTTTAACATCCTGTATTTAGTATGTAATCACAGCTGCTGTTTAACATGAGTGCTCATAAGAGACATTCAGTACCAGTTCTGCAGCTACGCCTTTTATCCTAAGACATAGTTCTCATTATTCTAATTCTTTGTAAGACAAACAGCTGAGTTTTAAACTAACTGCTTAAGTGCTGTCTCCCTTTTGGGACACTAACACTGGTCTTTCTCTGGGAAGTTAGAATGTCCTATTTGAAGACAAAAAAAAAAATCATTCCACTTCTGTTAGACAACTATTTAAATTATCAGCACACAAGATGAGAGCAGGAGAGAAAATCACTTCCCAGCCTTGTGAAACCAGCAGGAAGAGTGGACAGACAATACAAACACGACTGCAGCAAAAAGTTCTGCAGGGGTAGCTCAATTCAATCCTCCTGTGTTTCAGTTGTATCCCAGAACCTTCTAGAAGACCAGAGCTTCTAGCCAGTTTTAACCACTCTATACAGTAGCAGCAGAAACTTTTCCTCCCACCTCCCTACTACACTTAGTACATCCATTTGTGCTGAGGGAATAAACATTTACAAGCAGCTTAAATAAAAAAGCAGGCAGACATCAACAGAAAGTTATCCTTGTTCTCAAGGAACTGTCAGCTGGATGCAGTGCTCCCTAGAGGAGCTGCTCTGCAGAGCAGCTTTGTGTTGTGCTCCTTAACGTTGAAACCTGCTACCAGCAGCAAATGAGCACGCCCCCTTTATATCCCTCTCTGCAATGCAGTTTTTCTGCCAAGCATTTCCAAGTTGCTTAAAATAGTAATAAGTAATTGATCATGAAAGGATACTTAGCATCAGGCTGCCCTTTCTTGCCATAAGCCCATTCAGGTTCAATTTCCAGTTGAGCTTTCTCTCCTTTACTCATTGTTAAGAGAGCTTCATCCCACTAAAAAAACAAAAAGGGTCTTAATGCACTGAAGAACGTCTATTTTACATGCTTTCCCAACTTGTTTCTCTAAATACCTGCGCAATAACGCATAGTTCTTCCCAGCTTGTTCACCCACCCAAGAGTATACGCTGTGAGGTAGTTTTATATATTCTTTTTATATGTGGAAGCATTCTCCCCCACCGGATGTTCCCCTTTCCCAAATTAGTCTGGACATCATACTCTGGGTTCATGATCTCATGGTGTGAAGATACCAGTAAACTGATGGAGTAAACATTTCGATGCAAGTATCCGCAGTTTCAGAACGTTTCACAGCTGGACAACACGTACGTGGCACTAACTGGTTTGCCTCTCTCTCCTTACTAGTGTGCATTGTCAATGGATTAGCCTTATTTTTAAGGCTGATGCCTAAGGCCTGGTTTTATTTCAGCACTTGTCCTTCTTGAAGTCTCTCACCCACACTGCCTCACAGCTACTGTTAACAGTTGCGCACTGTATCAGCATTTCACAAAGAAGAGCTGCTACTCAGTGTCCTAAAACTGCCAATACCTGGCAGCCATACAGAACCGGAGCGCTGCACCAAGAGACTAAGAGAAAGCCAGGTGACTGTTTCTTTGGCAGCACTGCACACAAGCCCAGGGACGTTATGCCCTTTCCAACTCCAATCCAGAGTCAGACATAAAGGCCTTTTTCCTGCATAGCAGCAGTATGGGAAGTTCTCTCTGTGTGTGTATGTGTGTATGTGTGTGTGTGTGTGTGTGCGCATGTGTGTGCATGTGTATTCATTTTGTAAGTAGTGCAAGCATAAGATATTCGTATCCTGTACTAACAGCCACCAATTTCACCGTTGGCTCAGCAGCAGCAGCAAGATGCACAGTGAAGCGCCTCATTTGTGCATAAGCTGGTTTCTCCCAGACACCAAGCTTACACGAGTACCTGTGACTTCAAGATTTAGACAAGCAGATGAACGTGCTTCTGATTCTTCTTCATTTGGTTCTTCTACTTAGTACTTTTAGGCTAACTTAGATAATCCTCTCACACAGCTTCTAACTGCACTACTGTAACACTCAGTGCTGGATACAGTAGAGGAATTACAGCAAGCTTCACTGAATGGGGTTCTCTCTTGTTTGGCTCTTCAGGATTTTGAAGAAAAATTCAGAGAACAGGCACTACATCACCTATTTTCAATACATGTCAGCAATTAGAGCCTGGAGTTTCAGGATTGATGAACTAACCTATGCAGGAAGAGGTACTTGAGGTAAATACGAAAAGATGCTGAGAGCAAAAAAATATTCTGATTGACTAATAACATGCTGTGTGTGTGTGTACAGCAGTAGAGCCCCAGGAACCCAGTAACTAATCTTGTCCACTGTGCAAAGCGCTACACATAAATGCATAAGAGACTGTACCTGTCCTGAGGAACATGTAGTTGTAAAACTGTTTTCCACATACTATTTAACGAGAGAAATGACACTGAAGATGGATGAATGCATCTGCAAAAATATTACATCCTGCTGATGTAAAAGCTTTCAACTTGTCTCTTACCACCCCCCCCCTCAAAGAAACAAGAACAGCAGCTCAAAATTTGCTTCCCAGTGATAAATTCTGCAGACTGAAAAAATCTTGAGGATTTTTAGGGAGTCATTAATGGCTTACTTACACCTCTGATAACTTTTCCTATGCCAACTTTGAAACTTAAAGGTTTGGCTGCTTTTTTCTTCTTTGAACCTGAAAGACAGTTTTATGTTAATTTGCTTTAACATCACACCAGCACATACCGTACTTCCATCTAAAATTACTATTATGATTGTGCTTTACATAAAGATCTGTTTTTTATAATATTTTTAATTATAGCACACAGATAGATTTCCTGGTGGTTCCTATTATTTATTCTTTCACTCAGAACAGCAGCTCATTGCGTAAAACTTTAGTGCTATGCACTGACTGTTTTTATTAAATATTCCACAAAGAGCTGAAGTTGATCTGCATCCTGCAGAAAATGATCCAGTGAACCTAAAAGACTTCTTTTTCTGCACTACTGAAGTTGAACATACATGTAATACATGCAGAGGTGAAGCAAAATGTCAATAGAGAACCAATTTTGCTTTCAATACAATCTTTTATAAAAACATCACAAAACAAGTAAGACAGATCAGAGTATTTCAATGACAGCTTTGCTCTTCCTCTCAACTGTGCTAAACATATTATTTACCTCAGAATTTCATACACCTAAACTCTCAGATCAAAACAGTGACAAAAACACTAGTATACTTGTCCGAAGTAGATATGGTGAACCAGACTATTTCAAAGCACTGTTGTTCCAAGGCCCCCACGTTTAAGGGTTTATTACAGAAGTACACCGAGAGCAGCCCACCTGGAGAAGCTGGCTACACTGTAAGTGCACGAGTTCTGCAGATAAGTTAAAAGTACCAGGGTGAGAATCATCTTTCCTCTTAACTAAGTCTCCAGGCTGACCAAACACCCATATTTCACGTTAGCTGTGGCCTGGAAAATACCAAACTTGAGCTCTGGCCAGATGCACCAGGTATCACTTTACACAAGCCGGTCCTAAAATAATGCCCTGCCTTCTCTCATGGAAAAACTGACTCTCAGAACGGAGTGCAAGGACACTGCCGGATGGGGATGAAAGCAGTTTATCGGGACTCTGGCCACGCAAACCTTCCAGAAGCGAGCCGCTGCCCAAGCCTGCCTGATGAGTCCCGCTAACGTCCTCCGCGTCCGCATGAGACAAAAACCAATATATACGTGACCTTACTTGTTTGAACGTTGGTATCAAAGACGGTTCCGTCCTGCAGTTTTCCCGTATACCAGCAATGAACGGTGTCTCCTTTCTTCGGAAAGTTGGTTTTATCACCCTTCTTTAAAATTGATTTGGTGTATTTTGGTGGACCCTGAGTTTATAAAAAAAGCAAGAGTTACGACCGCTGCGTCACCCGGTCTCAGGCTAAGCGCGGTCGAGACCGCGGAGGCAGCTGGTTCGAGGACACGACTGGCCGCGTTGTTCGGCGCCTGGGCGCGACAGCGGCGCGGAAGCGGGGGGGGGTAAAGCAGAGGGCCGGCTGGAGGCGACGCGAAGGCCC